TTGCTTTTTATTTGTTTATTTGTTTATTTGTTTTTTTGTTTCTGTTTGTGATAATCTTTAAAATCGTGAAATTTAAATTTTACTAATAATATCATTTTATAATAATTTCACAATATTATAAAAAAGAGTGTTACATCTGTTTTTTTTTTTTTAAAGGTGTGTGTGGAATTTTTTTGTTTTGTGTGTGTTATAACATTTGTTCCTTATATATTTTCCTATAATCTCTTTATATTATTTGACATTTTTTTTTTTTTTATTTATTATTTAAAATTTTTATTTTTTTATTTTTTTTATTTTTTTTTATTTTTTTTTTTAAGAGTTTTTTAATAAATAACTATTTATATAAATTATTTTTTCAAACATCATAATTTTATCATTTTTTATTAATAAATAAATGGGTTTTTTTTTATTTTTTTATTTTTTTTTTTATTTTTTTTTTTTTTTTGGCATATTCTCTTTTAAATACAATCTTTGGGGTTGGATTTTTTAAAAAAACAAATAACTATCTTTATTAATATTAAATAAAAAAACCTAAATAAATTAGAATAGATTAATATACCTATAATATTTGTAAAATATAAATTGTTTTTATTTTTTTTTATAATTTATTTTTTTTATTTTATATTATTTATTTTTTTTATATTTTTGTATTTATATTTATAAATATTTGTTTTATTAAATCATTTGTATCAATATTATCATAAATAAAACAACCACAAATTTCAAAAATCACACAAAATAAAAATACACATTCAATTACACACACAATTTTAAACCACATCAATTAATAAATTGCACACACTCCAACACAAAAAATTCTTTATTTTTTTATTTATTTATGAAATATTAAAAAAATATCTTGATATTTTTAAATAATAAATATTGTTTTTTAAATAATAAATATATATATAATTATTCTTTTTTTAAAAATAATAATTAAGAACCATATTAATAATATAAAAAATAATTAAAAAAGCTTTTGAGTATTAAATAATTCATTTTAAAGAGAAATTAAGATATTTTTTTTTTTTTTGTGTTTTTTAGTTAAAAGTGTCAACAATACTAAAATAGTAATAAAATCAATAATATAAAATCAAAATGATAAATAAAAGATTTAGCAGGTTACAATTATATAAAATAGTTTTTATAATACTGTTTATAATGATAATAAGTTTTATAGTACTAAACATTAATATAATAAATAAAAATATAAATAATAGTAGCAGCAATAATATAAATAGTAATACCAATAATAATAATATAAACTTTAATATTAAATATATTAAAAGAAACCAAAAAATAAATATCAATAACATTAGTAAAAATAATTTATTCAAACCGCTTGATACCGAAAATATTATAAATAGAGATTGCCAATATGTAGATTTAGTTTATACATGGGTTAATGGAAGTGATCCAGACCTTTTACAGCTAAAATCAGAAATATTAGGGGACTCTAATTTTGAACCCCATAGATTTAGGGATATAGGAGGTTTAAAATACTCTTTAAGAAGTGTTAAAAAGTATGCTCCCTGGATTAAAAACATATATATTATTACAGCAAATCAAATCCCATCATGGTTCAATATTGAAAACCCAGGGAATATTAAGTTTATATTTCATCAAGATTATTATTTTAACAAGTGGGTATTTAAATATTTCATAATAAATATAATAAATTATTAATTTTTTATTTATTTCTATAGATCCCATTTACCAACCTTTAATTCAAATTCAATCGAATCAAATTTTTGGAACTTACCAGAAGAGGTATCAAATTGTTTCTTGTATTTAAACGATGATGTTTTCTTTAGGCAACCAGTACGCCAAGAGGATTTTTTTGATAAAGATTTTAATCAAGTTATATATCAAGTTGGTGAACGTGTTCGTAGCTCTTTAGAATATGACAAATATGATGCCTACTTTAAAATATTTATCAATACCAATAGATTACTAGATTCTCTATGGAATGAAACCAAAGAAAGAGTGTTGCCTGATCATGGTGTTCAAGTTTTCAATAGAAAGATACTAATTAAAATGGCAGAGGAATTTAGAAACCCATTATTAGAGACATCATCCAACAGAAAAAGAGAATCAAATGACATTCCAATTTCTTTTGTATACAATCAATTTGTCAAGAGATATTCAAACTATTCTGTAGGTAGACCCCGTTCAAATTTATATATAGGATTATGGAATGAAAATGACAACTATACCCGTATCGATCGTTCAATAGAATTAATAAACAATGAAAAGAATGCAATAACTGTTTGTGTAAACGATGGATTTGACTTTATAGACGATACAATTGATCAAAAACTTTCTACATTATATGAATCAATGTTTCCTGAAATTGGTGCTCATGAATTGTAATACCGATTTCGAAAAAAAAAATAAAATAAAAAAATTTTAAAAAAAACCATATATAGTTTTCATTTTTATTTGGGAGAAGTTTTTTTTTTAATATATCTGAATTTGAATTATTTGTTTCTTTTATTTATTTAATTTTAAAATCTTTTATTTATTTAATTTTTTTTATTTATGAATTTTTTAAAATAAATTTTTTAAAAAATGTAATTTATTTTTTTTATTATTTTTTTATTTTTTTTAAATTATCGTTGTTTTATTTTTTTTTTTTTTTTTATAAATTAAATATTAAATATGGAAGATGAATGGGTAGAAGTTGAAGAAAAATCTAAAAAAGAAAAAAGAAATAAAGATAGAGAAAGAGACAGAGATAGATCAAGCAAAAAGAATAAATCCAACGAAAATGAAACACCACAACCAGCGCCAAAACCAGAGATTCAAAGAGATGAATGGATGTCAGCACCATTAAATAAAAGTAGTAACCCAAGTGACTCAAGTAATATTTCCGGTAGTGATGAATCGTGGTTATCTCAATTAGGTAGAAATAGAGAAGAAAGACAAAGCGAAAGAGATAAAAAAAGAGAAAGAGATGAACATTTGTCAAAAATGCTATCAAGTGCATCTGGATTGGTTAAATCATTAGATTCACTAGCTGAAAACAACAACAACAACAATAATAACAATAACAATAATAGTAATAACAATAGTAATGATAAAAGTAATAGTAATAGTTCCTCTGCAACATCAGTAACAGACCCAAAACCATCATACTTGGTCGGCGATGGTGGTGCATCTTGGAGAGCTAAAAAACTGTTAAGAACAAAGGAGCAAGCAAACGAAATGGGTATGGATTTAGATCAAGCATTAAAAGAACGATTTCATGAATCTGAAGTTAAAAAAATCGAAGAATCAAGATCATATAATAATCGTTCAAATAGAGATTATAACAATAGATCAAGAGAACCATCAAGAGATTATTTAAAAAAAGATGATGATATCTATTCTCAAATGAAAAAACCAAATGATTCATCAAAATATCTTTGGAGCAGTGATAGAAATAAAAGCCCAATTAATAGTAGAGAGGCTTTAGACAATGATAGATCATATAGAAGCTCTAGAGATAGTAGAGATAGAGATACTAGAGATAGTAGGGATAGAAGAGATACCAGGGACTCTAGAGATAGTAGGGATACTAGAGATACCAGGGACTCTAGGGATGCTAGAGATAGTAGGGATAGTAGGGATAGCAGGGATACTAGGAATGCTAGAGATAGCAGGGATGCTAGAGATAGTAGGGATACTAGAGATACTATGGACACTAGAGATACTAGGGACTCTAGAGATACCAGGGACTCTAGGGATTCTAAGGATGGAGGGGGCTATAGGGACAGTGGTGACAGGAAAATAGAAAAAGAAAAGAATAGTGAACAAGAAAAAACAATGGAAAATAATAATAATAATAATAATAATAATAATAATAATAATAATAATAATAATAATAGTAATAGTAATAATAATACTAATAATATCAATAGTAATGAACAAAATAAAAAAAATTTAAATAAACTATCAGCCGAATTAATGAAAGCTAAAATAATGGGTGATAAAGAAAAACAAAAAAGATTGGAAAATCAAATTGAAGAATTAAAGAAACAACCATCCATCTCTAATGAAATATTACCAACGTCAAATGAAAAGGTTAAGCTTTCTGGTTTAGATCAATTTGGAAGGAAAATATTTTTAAATGAAAAGAACCTTAGTCATCACGAACAAGAGCATAAAGAAGAACAACAATATGACGAAAAAATCAAAAAAGCATTTGATGCTAAAAAGGGTGAAAGAGATAAGTACTATCAAGATGATAATGATTACGATTTAAACACATTAGTATCAATGGAAAAAAAACAATCAAGAGATGAAAGCAGTAGAGATATGGACTATGAATTTGTAAAGACTATGGCAAAATCAGAGAAATGGGCTAAAGATGACCGTGAAGACTTTGGACCAGATTATGATAACATTAAAAATATTTCAGCTAAAAAGAAACAAGAAAGTGACGAAAAAGAATTAAGGAAATTCAAAGATAAGGTATTGTTTGCAGATAAAAAAGTTAATTCAGTTTTAGAGAGATGCTGGTATTGTCAAAATAGTACCCAATTCCAAAAGCACATGATGATAACATCAGGTACCAGAGTTTACTTAGCATTACCAACACGTGGATCATTAACAACGGGTCATTGTACTATTGTACCTATTGCACACACTTTATCTTGCGTCGAAACTGATGAAGATACATGGGATGAAATAACAAATTTCAAGAAATGTCTAATTCAAATGTTTGCTGAAGAGGATAAATATGTTGTGTTTTTAGAAACTGCGATGAAATTCAAACAGCAACACCATACTGTTATCGATTGTATCCCTCTTCCATATAACATATTTTCAACAGCTCCAGGTTACTTTAAAAAATCTCTTATGGAAGCAGAGTCTGAATGGGCTCCACACAAATTAATTGACACCATTAAAAAAGGAGGCTTAAAAAATTCAATCCCAAAGAATTTTCCATACCTTTGGGTAGAGTTTGGTTATAAGCAAACAGGTTATCTACATCCGATCGATAAAGAAATAGAATTTCAAAGAGATTTTGGTAAATCAATTATAATGGGTTTATTGGAATTAGATCTAGATGAAGTATATAATAAAAGAAGAACCAGAAACGAAGAAGAGTTTATTGTTAAGAATTTTAAATCAAAGTTTGATAAATTTGATTGGACAAAGCAATTATATGAAGATTAAAACAAAGGAATATAAAATAAAAATTTAATTTTTTAACTATTTTACTTTGTAAATAAAAAATATTTGCAAATTTATTAGGTTTTATTTAATTCATTTAGTTTTCTATTGAAATTTTTTGAAAATTTTTTATCTTCTTTATGACGTATTATAGCATAAGAAACAGCGACAGCAATTATGCAAGCAAAGGCAAATCCTCCTATTGCAATTCCAGCTATTTTTCCTTTTGATAAACTGTTACTTGATGAGCAAATTGAATTTGGATGAGATGGAGATGCAGAGAAACTATTTATTAACACTGAGAAATCCGGATCGATAACTACTCTTGAATTAAACCAAGGTATTGTAATACCAATAAAGGTTTGCACTTGATTTGAGCCATCAACAATTTTATTTAAAGATGAATCTAATAGTTGATTGTATGCTGTTTTTAAAATATCATCATCAACTATACAACGCTTTATAAATCTACCATACAATGAATGATCATTAACCTGAATATTTAAATAGTTTGAGTTATCACCAGATGATGTTTCACCAAATTCTTTGGTAGAGCAAATATCTTTGGATTTATTGGATAGGAGGGCTGCATACATAATCAACTGTAATTGATTTAATTGACTTGCAAATGGGTAGTTTTCTATCTCTACAGTATACTTTATTGAAGAGGGGTTCATGGTTAAATTTTGATTTGCGAATTCTATTTGAGTTTCATTTACAAACCATTTCAAAACTGCTGTAACCCTAACTTGATTTTCACCAATTGTTATATTAGTTTGATATTTACTTGTTAAAGTATCAATTTCGGTAAAAACCCATTCTTTAAATGTATAATTATAGACTATATTATCTTGATAGTCGATTTCTCTTAAAGATGCTAAAGAAACAAATGATGAATAAAATATTCCTTGTTGATTATTACTGTTTTCATTGTCACTTATAACAGGTATCTCAGTTGATGGTCCAGTTATATTTGTTTTAGGTGGGTCTACATAAACTATTTTTGATAAGCAATCATTACCAATCCATGGAGAGTAGCATACACACCCTGTATTTCCATTACAATATCCATGATCTTTTCCTCCACACACTGGAGAACCCAAACATTTTTGAGGTTTATTTGTTGGTGCCGGAGTATTTGATGGCGATGGTGTTTTTGGATTGTTTTTTTTAAAATAAGTTGGGTTAATTGTGAACCAATTTGAATCCACATTGTCTTTATTTGTTAATTTAACTTTAAATTGATCAAAAATTGGATCTAGCTTAAGTAATACAACTGAACTACCTATTATTTTTTTAATATCAATATTTTTTATTTGGCCATCTACTTCAATTTGAGCTTTAATTACATCCTTTAAGATTTTTCCATAAACTATTAATTGATCTGAACAAAGATATTTTTCGAAATCAGAGATAATTGGTGTATCCAATGAATATTTTACCTGTATTGAAGATATAAATGAATTATATGCTAAATCTGAACAACTGTAACCTTTAAAAAATCCTCCATTATTTATTAAGCCATACACTGAAACCTGGATACCCAAAGGATAACCAAAACCAACTGGAACAGTAATTTGGCAAAAGTAGTTAACCTTTTTATATAGTGGATCAAAAGAAGTTATATTTGCGGGGCATTCTAATAGGTTCATTTGAGATGATAATAAATATACTATAGGGTTTTGAGTAGGCATTAAACCGCTCTCTGGATCTTCTGCAGTAAATGTGAATGAAACCACTCTATCATTTGTACCTACATCAACTTCCAAAACACTTGGGAAAAAAGATGATAAAACTGGACCTGAAGGATCTAAAACGGAATTTTGGCAAACAGATTCAGAATTTAAAAGCTCTTGTTTATCTAAAAGATATCTTAATGGATTTTTAAAACCTTCAAATCTATATTCATAAAGTCCAAACTCAGATTCCATGTTATTTGTATCCAATAAATAAATATATGTTATTTGATATTGTTGAGAAATGCATGGACTGGTAATATTAATGACTAAATCGAATTCTGAATTATGTATAGTACTTTGTGGATTTGCCTCATTTGATGTAAAATTAAATTTGAAAATGGAACCATCTACTAAACCAACTGCTTTAACATAACCGCTCTTGAAACCATTATTTAAATCTTCAATTAAAACTCTCCAACCAACTTTACCATAACTATTTAAATTAACAATACTTTTGATCATAGGCCCATCATTATCGAATTTTGAAGAAGAAACAACCAATGGAAGGTCTAAAACTGATTCCCCATACCACATATCATGTGAAAAAAATATATAATAATTAATATCTCCCGGTATTGTGTTTTTGGGTATTATAAAATTGCAATAGAATTTCTCTATTGATTCATCCCAATAAATTGGATAAAATCCTTTTTGATAGCTAGGAATATCAAAGGAGACATCATCCATAAGAGTGAATACCATTGATGAATTTTTTGGGATTGGATTTGAGGTATTGAAGTAAAATACATTATAATTTTCCTTATCTGTAATATTTATATTATTTTCATAAAATGAATAATCTATTATTTTAAAATCTAAATTATAATAAAATAATTAATGATCTATCGATTTTTCATTTTAATATTATAAATTTCATATACATACCATTTGTTTTTTTATTTGGAGACCTATAGAATACAGGAGTACCATTTTCATCATTATAAAGATAATTCCCGTCGATGAATTTTAATGAATACCCAATGATATCTATAACACCTAAAACTTCCCCCTGAGAAGTATCAACAACCATTTCAAAAGTTCCATCATTTGTTGATCCCTTTATTAAAGTTTCTAACCCATAAGGAGAACTATTAAAAAAAAAAGAACTTATACCAGTATCTATATCATTTGCTTTTACTCTGAGTAAATATTTTAAGCCTACAATATGTTCAAACTCGATCAAACTTAGTGTTGTTTGATAATTTTCTAATTTTAAATAAAAATAATTAATATTTTATGAATACATATGTAGTTTTGCATAGATTAAGTAATAATTACGATTTAAAGTTGGTCCTTGAATATCAGTATAGCTATCTAATAAGGTTGGAAACTCTGCGATCTGAAAGGGTCTTATCAGGGGTACTATTATGTAATCTACTTTATAGTTAAATTTATTTATATTTCCATTAACAAACCCAAATGGGAAACTTGATTTGAAAGAATATTCATCACAATAACTGTGTCTATAAATGCTATCCCTAAATTTGTAACTTGAGTCTGAAATGAATGAATAAGAAAAATAGTTTGAAAAAATCGAAACCATTCCAATTGGAAGATGGTTATTTATAAACACTAAAAAATTTTATTAGATAATATATTAAATTAAAATATATAAATATTTACTTACATTTTATATTGTCTGAGATATTAAAATTGTTGAACTTTGGTCCATTGTTATATGAAAAGATATGGGAATTGTCCTCATAATCTTTAAAAGCAGGCAATTGGGAAATATAATTATAAGTTTTCCCATTATTTGAAATACTGAGTTTTCTTGGATAATAAATATTTTGAGAAATAAATGCATTATTAAAACTTGAATTAGATGATATTATTATTAATGGATAATTATAAAAACCCCATTGTTGAAAAGTTTGAGATAAATCAACTGGAAAATGTTCATATGTAATATTTTGATATTCACCCATATGATAGAATTGATTGATTGAAAAAGAAAATATTTTGTCAGGAAAAACTACCGAAAAATCTATTAAACCAGTTGAGGAATAATTTATAGTTGTTAAAAGAACTAAAAAGATTTCTTCCGTCACTTTATAAACTACTAAAGAACCTGACACTTTCAGGCTTTCTATTGGATACTCTAAACCTATAATGTTAACATATACCGCCTGGTACATAAATGTATAAAGCTCGGTCTTATTTCTGAAAATGTTAACTTGAATATTTTCTGTATTTATTTCTATAGAAATAAAAAAAAAAAAATTAACTTTTTATTATATATTTTATAGATTTTATCTTAAATAGTTTTTTTACTTTTACAGGTATAATTTACTAAAAACGAAGCTTTGTTTCCTAATCCATTATAATAAACATTGAGACTATAGGTCTTTTTATTTTCAACATTTACCGATGGAGTTAAAATAATATATAGTTTATCTGCTGTATTTGGAACATAGTGTGAATCTGTATTAAATGTATAAAGATATGGAAGCCTTCCACCGACTTTATCTTTAATAATAAATTTTGAATTGAAATTACAAGTATCCGACTCACTATTTTCTGGACTTTTTATATATGAACCTTCATATTCAATTAATTGTATATCGGCATCTTGATCTAATACTGTTAACTGACTATTTATTATTATGCTTATATTTAATATTATTAAAACTAAATAAATTATTTTATTAATTTTAATTTCCATTATCATAAATATATTTTAAAAATATTTTTATTTTTATTTTACTGTCTAAAAGATGGAAAAAAAGTGATTTTATAAATTCAAAATATAAAATTTATAATAAAATAAAAAAAAATAAAAAAATAATTAAATAATTAAAAAAATAAAAAATCTATAATACTCCACCTTTATAGCAATTCAATTTACCCCATTAATTATTCTTCATCATGAATCATTTCAAAAACAAATAGATAGCTATTGGAAATCAAGTAAAAAAAACTTAAAATTATTGAAAAATAAAAAAAATCAATGCTATTTAAATAAATATCGGCAACAATCTGTGATTGCATAAAACAAAATAAATATAAAAATAAAAAATTAAAAAAAAAATTAAAAAAATTTTAAAAAAAACCGATTAAGCTGGGGAACCTTTTATCTAAAATTTCATCGAAAAAAAAATTAGATATTTTCAAAAAGAAAAATTCGTGATGTGTTTTTATTGATGATCATTTTTTATGAATTTGATGGCCTAGCGATTATTATAATATGGAGAGCCAACTTTTTTTTTTAAATATAGTTTTGTTGAGGTGAATCCACAAAACATTTATTGCGTAACCATTACACACGATATCGTATTCAAAATTTTGACTTTTATTTTATTATTTATTAATTTTGTTATGTGTTTTATAAAACTAATTATTTGATGAATTAATTATTATTGAAACATTATTATTATCATTATTATTATTGTTGTTTGAAATATTATTATTATCTGAATTGTTACTATTCATTTCTAAATAAGAAATGTAATAAGGAAGAGGGCCAATTGCTTTATATATATTTTTATTTAACATTTTAATATAATCATTTTCTGATAATAATTTTGACAATGGTATCATATTTCTGTATCCTGTGAATAACTATAAAAAAACAGATATTAGTATATTTTAATTTTAAATTTTATATTTAAAACTTACAATATAATTATATAAATAATAACAGATAATTGGTATATCTATAATTATTAAAATTTTATAAATTGTATTTAGAATTTTATTATTTTGATTTGAAACTGCTACTAAAAATACACCAGCTAATATAGCTACTAAATGTGAAAATAAATTTACAATTTGAAATAATTGATAACTTGTTGCTTTTGAATAAAATACTTTATCAAATAGTATTGATTTTTTATTTAATAAATTAACCATTTCTATATACATTTTCTCTGTCTATATTTTAAAAAATTAATAAAATTTATTATATAAATTAAAATAATAATTTTAAATATATTTTATGCACATACCTTTTTAATAAAAGGAAGATAATAAAAGAAAAATATTGAAAATAAAACTAAACAACCAAAAATTAAGTAATATAAAAGTATTGTTGAGTTTGGATCTTGATTAATAAATATTATGAATGGTATGAAAAAATAAAAAAAATAAATTATGCTAAAATAAAAATAATCGTTTTGTGGGGACCCATTCCTTGTTGATACCATTTTAATATATTGACCTACAAGTTGATACTCTTCTTCATTAACTATACCAATTAGTTCATTGGGTAAATAAGAACAAAATGTATAGTCATACACTGGTGTCGATAATGATAATGACGATGGTGCTATTTCATACCCAAATTTAAAATAAAATCTTTTTCTCTTTTCTTCAAGTTCTACACCAAATTTATCATATCTTTTATTAATTCCATTTAAATTAATAATAACCTCTTGATTTCTATCTTGATTTTCTTCATCATCATCATCTAAACCATTATTATTATTATTACTATTATCATCATCTAAACTACTATTTAATAAATTATATTTTGGTTTTTCTTCTGTTATCATTTTTTGTTGCTAGTTATATTATATTAAAATATTTTATTATATTTATAATATTATTTTTTATTTTATGATATAATAAGAAATTTATTCATAAAAACAAAAAAAAAACTTATTTTTTGATTAAAATTAAAAAAAAAATTTATTAAAAAAAAAAGTTTTAAAAATAGTTTTTGATGGGTTAGACCAGTGACAAAATAATAAAAAAAAATTAAAAAAAAAATAAAAAAAAAATTAAAAAAAAGAAAAAATAAAAAAAAAATACAAAGAGAAAAGATTTTTTGTTTATATATATATGATTATTATAAAATAAATAAAATATTTATTTTTTTTATAATTTTATATTTGTATTTGTATTTGTATTTGTATTTATATTTGTATTGTATTTGTATTAATACAAAGATTCCTTATTATTACTTAAAATTTATTTTTATGCATGATTTTACATTTCTAAAAGTTTTTTTAATTTTTCTAAATCTATTTTTTTCGATGCTGCAGAGCTTTCTTCGTCCATTTCGAAAAAGTTTACCTCGTCATCGATATGTTCAACTTCTGACTTGTAATATAAACTAAATACAACAGGGTGCAAAATTTTGAAAATTAAAATATCGGCCATTTTTTCATTTGGAATATTTGGCCTGATTTTAGTTAAAAATAGTCCCCCCAATTTTGTGAATAACTGAAGAAAAAAAAAAATAATGTTAATAAATTATAAAATATAAAAAAAATAAAAATAGATACATACCAAAAAGAATAAAAAGTTTAAAATAGTTTGTAAAATTAAAAAGAAAAGAGTTACTGCATATAAAACCCTAGTGTTTTTATCACCATGATGATGGTGCTCTAAATAGTATAATACATATAAAAGAATTACACTTAATCTAACATATATTTTTAATGAAATTAAAAAGTATTTTCTATAAACAAATGAAAAACCAACCCTGACATTTCTTCCCTTTAACATTGATTTATATTTTCTTTTTAAGATCAATGTCTGAAAAATAATAAAAATAAAATAATTAGATTTTTTTTTTTTAAAATTTTTTCACATCTTTTACTTACCCATATTTTATTGTAGATCAAGGTTGGAAAGTTTAATAATACACTAATAGCAAGCGATGTAAAGAATAATATTGATACAATTTCAAATTGATTTTTTGTTGCCAAAGAGTAAACTACTGTAGTCATCCAAAATATACTTTCTATGGTTGTTTTAACGAAATAGTTTTGAGGACTTCCATTATTAGATTGATATTTTAAATAATCTCCAATAATTTCATATTCTTTTTCTGTAATAATTTTATTTAATTCCTGTGGAAATTCTTTTTTATATGTGTAATGGTATTGATTGAAACAACTGAATATTGAATTTGAAACTTCATATTCAAATGTATAATCATATTTATTTTCAACCTCCACAAACATTATATACCCAACAATGATATTGATACTATTATTATTATTATTATATGTGTATTAAATAAAAAATAATAAAAAATTTAGAATTTGGGAAAATACAAGAAAATTTTTAGCAAAAAAAAAAAAAAAAATTTGTAGTGGAACCCTTAACAAAAATTAAATAAAAAAAAAATAATTATGAAATAATAAAAATTCCCACTTATAAGTTTCCCAAGTGTCAAAGATAGAGGAGTGTTAGTGATGGGTTTGATAAAGAATCAAGATAATTTATTTTTTTTTTTTTTATTTTTTTTTTTTTAAAGTAAAAAATTTGACATCATAATTTTTTTAAAAATCTAAGAAATTTTTTAAATACACAAAAACTATTTTTTCGATGTTTTTTTTTTTTTTTTCGAAAAAATAATTAATTTTCATTTTTTTTATTTTGGTTCTATTACCTTATTTTATGAGTATTATTTAATACCATTATTTATAGTCATTTCTTTTTATATTTTGATAAACAAATATGGATAAAAAAGATCAAATTTGAAAAATTATTTGAAAAAAAACTTTTTTTTTTTAAATTATTTTCTTTTTTTAAATTAATTTATAATTTTATTTCAATTATTTTAAATAAATAATTTGAAGTTTATTATATATAAATTATGTTTATTATAATAAAATATAGTAATTTTAGTAATAAACATTAAATAATTTATTATATTTAATTATTTAATTAATTAATTAAATAAATAAATAATAATATAATGTCAATATTTGAAATAGAGAATATTATAAATAAAATATTATTACCTCAAGAAAAAGAATTAATAGAATCAGAGTTTATGTGTCAAATATGTAAAAAGTTAATTTTTAATAGATATGTATATCAGTGTAGAATTGGTGATTGGTATTGCGATAGTTGCGTTAAATCAAAGGTATTAAAAAAAAAAAGATGTTCAATATGTAGAATTAGAATCGAAAAACCTGAAGATCTTTCAAGAAATAAATTCATTGAAAATTCTTTTAATAAGAGAATTGTAGTATGTCCATATTCATTTCAACATTTAACATCATCACCAGTATTAACTCCAATATCGGTAAACAAATTAATTTGCAATGAGACCTTGACAGATGAACTAAATAATGCACTAATCGATGAAAATAAAGATATTTCAGAGGAAGATGAAAATAGATGTAGTCAAAAAATTACAATTTCAGAATTAAATGGACATATAGAAACCTGCCAATTTAGATTTGTTAAATGTAAAAACCAAGGATGTGAAATGGAATTAAGATTTAAAGATTTACAAGTCCATAGCGATAAATGTGGTTATGAAGTTATCATGTGTCAGTTGTGCAATCATGAAGTTATCAGATCAAAATTAGAACATCATAAAGCTCAAAAATGCCCAGATGTGCATGTTAAATGCAAAGAATGTAAACTTGATATTAAACGTAGATATGTTGAACACCATTTAAATGAAGAGTGTCCAGAAGTTAATGTACTGTGCTCATTCAGCGAATACGGTTGCTCAGTAGAAATCAAAAGAGAGAACTTACAAGACCATTTGGAACTAATCAATCATTCAGTTTTTATGATGAAAGTAATTCAAAAGCAATCATTGGACCTAATCAAATCAAATAATACAATCTCAAAGTATGGAAAGGATCTTAAGGATTACCAAAAACAATTAGAGGACTTTAAATATCAACTAGAAGAATCAAATAAAAAATGTAATGAAATTTTAGAAAAGTTTCAAGCAATCGAACCAACCATTAATAAAATTGACTCATTCAAAACCTATAGAAATACATGGATTATTAATGATTTTTCATTAAAAAAAGATAAAGAATTCACTTCACCAGAAATAATAATGGAGCCTTATATTTTCGAATTACAAACTGGAGCAGATGTACCAGAAGAATTAGGTATTTATTTAAAAGAGAAAAGTAAAAATACAGTTTTTGTTAGATTTCATTTAATTTTAGTTCACAAAGATCCCTCGAAATCAATTAAAAAAGTTATTGAATATGGTATGTATTTTAATATTATATTGAAGTAATATTGAAATAATATTGAAATAATATTAATATTGTTTTTTAACTATTTTAGAATTTATAGACGGTAATGATGGCACTGGGTTTGGAAACGAACAATTTGTTAAATTAAAGAACATCAAAGAAAAAGGTTTTTTAACAAAGGGGAGATTAGCAATAGAGGTTATTATTTCAACTTTATCTTTTTGTATTAATATGGATTTAATAGAACCTGAAGAAAACCCTCTTATATCAGAATAACAATTAAATTTCTAAAAATTTAATTTTAAACAAATAAAATTAAATAAATTATTATTTTATTAGAAAAGAAACATTATCAATAGAACATATTAATTAATTAAAATAAAATTTTTTGCACCACACAATAAAAAAAATTAAAAAAAAAGAAAAAAACAATTGAAAATAAAAAAAGAAAAAGTTAACTTTTTTAAATATGTAATAAATTTTTAATGTTTATTAATTAATGTAAAATCTATATTTTATTATATAACTAACTCTTTATGAAATATAAAAATGAAATCTGAATTGATAATAATTAAATTGAACTAAATATACTTTTTTACTGATTGTTATTTGTTAATTTAATTATTATAATTGATGGTGAAATAATGTATGATATGAAAATACCAATGTAGTCATTTGATTGGTCGGACACGAGATAAACTTTCACCTTTTGACTGAATGAGTTCTTCAACAGATATTAACGGTCTACTAGTACAGGTGATAGAGTGGAGCTATTGATTAAGCATTTTACTTGATATTCTCATTAGTTGATACCCGATAATGACTACTTTATCTAAAAGATTTTGACGCTATACCAAAGTTGCTTGGCCAGAACAAAGTTGGTATGTGCAAAAATCTATTAGATTGAATAGTATTATAATTTGAAAACTATGGATTGATTACTATACACTGTACTAGAAATATTTGTGGTTCTATAAATTGTTTTTTAAGGATTGATTTTAATTTTTGAATAGGTGATTGTAATTTGCTTTATATTGATGATTTTATGATTGGTTTCATTAAAGTAATGAGGTGGTGTTGATGATGAATTGAAGATCTTTAAAAGAAAAATGAGATGATGGTTTATTTTGATGGATACCCTGGTGCACTTTGTATTGAATTGATTGAACGAAAACCCCAATAAATTGGCAATAATTGATTAGAGACTTTAAAAAAAAACGTATTGATAATTAAATAAAGAATTTGATAAACTAAATAAATATTAAAATTAAATATTAGTTTCTTTATATTCAAATATAATTATAATTATGCTAATGTTATCATTATATTTACCTTTAAATTTTGATTTCGTATTAATTTTAGAACTTTTAGAATTTCCTTGTCATTTCCTGAGCTTTATTCTGAAGGGATGAATTATATGATGCATTGTTTGCCGCTAGTAGTTGATAATGATATGATTATTTAATGGATTCCTTTTTGGTTGGTGTAGTTAACTATTTTAAATTTCTTCGATTTAATCGAGATCCATATAATCACCGGATTCTTCGGAATCTGATCCACCAATTGAATTGTTATTATTTGTTAAAAATTCATTTGGGACATATTGATCTAAATGAGAATCGTAAACGTAATCGTAATCGTATTCATTAAAATCTAATCCAGAAGATGAATTATTATTGTGGTCAGAATGGGAATGGGAATCTGGTTCATAATCATAATTGGAATCATTATCAGAGTCATTATCGGAATCATCATCAGAATTGTTACTTTTATTTAATGATTCCTTTCTAACTTCATATATTGATTGTGCGGCTTGACCCTCTCTCTGCGATTAAATAAAGAAATAAATTAATATATTTTTTATTTATATTATAAATATAAATGTATGAAATACTTACTTGAATATGATTAAATTCTACTCTGCATAATGGACAAGTATTATTTTGTATGCACCATTTTCTGATGCAATCATAGCAAAACATATGAAAACAATCTATAAAGGAGGCATTAGTGGTATTTATTTTGTTGTAACAAATACAACACTCGGAGTTATTTTCTTTTTCTAAACGCTCCTTTTCTAATTTTTCATTCTCTAATCTTTGCTTTTCTAAAATTTCTTTTTGAACACGCTCTTGTTCGATTTTTTCTTTTTCAATACGTATTTTCTCTAATCTTTCTTTATCAATACGCTCTCTCTCTAATTTTTCCAATTTTTCTTTTTCCAATTTTTCCTTTTCAATACGCTCTTCTTCTGCTTTATTTGATGAACTCTCACATTTATAACGAGATTGTTCCTTGTTAAATGATGGATACTTTGATGATTGTTCGTTATTTGGTGGAGTATTTACTGATTTTGGTTCTCTAGCGGTAGAATAACGTGATTTTTCTTTATTAAAGGTTGGGTAATTATTATTTTGTCCCCTTGAAGGTGTAAATGTTTGTTGTGGACAATGATGTGGAAAATTGGCTGATGGAGAACTATTTGCAGCAGTATAACGTGATTGTTCTCTATTGAAGGATGGATAGCTAGACTGTGCACTTGAATATTGTTGTGGTTGGGGTTGTGAGTGTTGTTGGGGTTGATTGCTTGATGTGACATTACCAGCAGCTGAATATTGTGAATAGGTTTTATTAAATGATGGGTAATTATTATGTTGTGCCCTTGATGATTGAAAATGTTGTTGTTGTTGTTGTTGTTGTTGTTGTTGTTGTTGTTGTTGTTGTTGTTGCTGTTTTTGGAGTTCTTGTCTTCTATGGAGCTCTCTTTGTTTGGCTAACTCCTCTTGCTTTCTTAAATTCTCTTGTTCTCTTAAGAAAGCTTGTTCCTTTTGTCTTTTCAAAATTTTTTCTTGCTTCTTTTGATTTTGTTGATTGTTTAATGATTCAGAAACATTATAATAGATTGGTGTTGAGGATTGTGGAATAGAACTGTGATTGCTATAGTTATTGGTGAAGCAATGATAGTTGTGATTGTTTGGGTAGGTGGTGGTGTTGGAGCTGGTGTTGGAGCTGGTGCTGAATCTGGTGTCGGAGTTGGTGTTGGTGCTGTGTTGGAGCTGGTGCTGGATCTGGTGTGGAGCTGGTGCTGATCTGGTGCTGGAGCGGTGCTGGATCTGGTGTTGGAGCTGG